GGAAAAAAAGTCAGATCGTGTTTTTTTTGGATCATATGGATGTCAGCCTCTTCCAATGGGATAATACTTTGAAGTTCCAGTGCCCTCACACAACACAATAAGTTATCGGCTCATCGGTTCAATAGTTTAGTCAAGTATTCGTGGTTTAAATCAGGATACATGCCTGAGTAACATATCACACCAATTAAATATTGATTAGAAATGGACATCTTCAAACAAAGCTGTCAGAAAGTTGTAGATGACAGTGTGGATGTGATGAAGCCACATTCATAAGATGTGTCCACTGTGAGCTGGATCTGTTTTTCTCTCACTTTTATATTGATTTTCACTGGTGTACCTCACAATTTCGAACTTTGAATAAATCAGCCCATGGGCCATGAGAGCCAATGGCCCATGAGGACACATGGAAATTCACAAATTATTCTCTATCACCATGCACTGTCAATGTACAAATTTTAGTTGAAATCGGAGAGTCACACTCTTTGAATGTTCCTTGCAAGTCCTTTAACGTACTAATCTGGAGCACCCAGTTTAGTCACATGCGGATGCCTGGAGTCAAACCCAGGACTTCAACGCTGTCAGCTCAGCGCTCCGATCTCTGCATCTCCAAGTCACCTCCGTGATTTGATATATAAAAATATACATATTCCAAACAATATTACACAGCACATATACTGTGACACGAGTAACATTGATGAGCCTCCACATTTTCTGGTCGTACTGAACTGTAAACGTTAAGGAAAATACTGAAAGCTTAACCTATGAACACAAACCGCATGGGTAATTACAGATGGTTCACCTGTTTTAGTAAGTTTTTGCGGGTAGCTGCAAAAAAATCCCAGTGCATAGTGCATGAAATAGTGTGGTGCCTGTTGGCATGGAGGAAAACCCCTTCCTGTAATTGGAAGTATTGTACAGTCCATGATAAAATATGGGTAGAATTCGGTACAGATTTTAACAGCATTTATTCAATTTTAAAAACCAGATTTGATTTCACTGCTTAATTTGAAGACACAGCAGCACAACCGCGCATGGTGTTCATTCCATTTTTTTTTTGCCCACGTTCAGCATAACGGTTCGCAAAGAAGTACACTCAGACGAAAGAGATACAGGAAACAGGGAACATTTGGATTAGAGAAGGGACGCAAATCATGAGCATTATACTGACTGTTAAAAGATAATTGGCCTTAGGCAGGACACATCACCCCACATTGGCTACAAGGGATGGTTGATGGATGAGATGGGTGACAGAATGGCGACCAAAGCAGTCCATGTGCAGAAGTGAAAAAGATTGTGGCATTGCAAAACTGTGAGAGATAGCTGCTGTGGGCTAAGGAATACTCCCAGCAGTAGATAGACAATGGCTCACGATTATGATGATGAGTGTTAATTGTTTTTGCAATATAAATTGTAAGTGTGCTCAATTTTATTTGCAGTTTTTAACTGTGATAGGACTTGAATGATCAACCATTTACGCTTGTGTGGCTTGAACGGGCTTAACTTGTTCCGTGTCTTTTTTTTTACAAATTGGAAGTACATCAAACATTCTGGTGTTATTTGAGCTCTTTTTTTGCCAACGAGAGATGTAAACAATTTCAAACGAATGTTCTAAGACAAAACCACTCCATTTGTACAATTACGCACTTGGGTTCTGTGGAAGTTGCTCAACTCATTTTCCAATACCAAATATATTAAAACTTACAAATTCACTTGTCTAGGTGGAATCTAAATATTATTTCCTTCGAATATTATTGGTGAAATATTCAAACAGTACACATACACGAATAAATTGCACACGGACTGTGCATATGCAAAAACCACCATCAAATTAAATTTGAGCAAATGTGACCAACTCACACTTGCAGTGGTACAGAGATAGAAAACTGTGAACCAGTTTTATTAGGACTCATCAGCACAGTGAGTTCTAAGAAGGATGAAACAAAGACAAATCATCTTCTTGGTTCGTTCGGTAAAGTCATGTAGAAGGGAAATAATAAAATAATAAAAATAAAACATAATAAAATAATTCTCACGACGTTTCGGCCACAACGCAAGCAGCCGTCCTCCTTGCGTTGTGGCCGAAACGTCGTGAGAATTATTTTCTTATGTTTTATTTTTATTATTTTATTATTTCCCTTCTACGTGACTTTACCAAAAGAACCAAGAAGATGAATCCCTGCAGTCACGAAAGCTTTAAATCGAAAAAGACAAATCAGTTAAACGCGTGTAACCAAGACAACTGTCTGGCAAAGACAGAATTCTCCAGGCAACATCCTCAGAAAGAGGATGTTGCCTTGAAGCTAGGACAAGATGGCAACAGCTTACCTATCACTGACGGTGGGAAAATCTTCATCTGACTGACAGTGTGGGGAGACTTCCATCAAGCAGTAAATTAACGAAGGGAATGTAAATTACGACTATACTTTTTCTGATACCTATGCTATTATGTAATCTCATGACTCATTATTCGATAACAAATGGTCGACACGAAAGCACCCAGGAGGCACTGAATACATTCCATCCTGAATAAAATGTCATAAAATAAATAAAATAATCCCCCCCCCCCCTTTTTTTTTAGCAAATATCACAAGCCGTGGGACTGAATACATGGGTATGTTTCAAAGCATAAACAACTGCTTCATCATGGAAGCGGGCAATGTTCATGCCCGGATGAGCACGAGTCCCAGACAATAACCAAAACGTACCCCTCACCCACATAACAACAACACTGGTTGACATGCCCTTGGCACCACAATCTTGTTACTCATTTCTCAGCAACGTGATACATACACCATTTTGTTTTAAAGACCACGTTTCTGTTTTATTCGTAAACAGTGTGATTAATCTTTACTTTTTTCCATACAAATACACGCATTTTCAGCTAATGACCAAATCACACGAAATGGGAATGCACCTGATCTCGTTAGATCTTGCAAGCTAAGCTGGTTGGACCAGATGACGCCAAAAGGCGCACACCTCAAAGACAATGCACCATCAGAGTATGAGAGCTCGGGGTCAGCATTTACACCGAGCTCTCATACTTTGATGGTGCATTGTCTTTGAGGTGTGCGCCTTTTGGCGTCATCTGGTCCAACCCATGTGAGACTAGGCTCTAAGGAAAGCTGTCTCGGGTGTGGACCAATCAACTTCAAGGACAGTGCATACATTATCAGAGTTATGTTTTTTGTTTGCAATATGACTGCAGGTATTGTGGTCTATGCAAACATTACTCCTTGTAAAAAAGGTGTCAGTTTTGTTGCTAGATAGAAGGGTAAAAACAATTATCATATTTTTTACTGGCAAATGAGGTTCCAATGGTGTAAAGTTATAACATACTCGGGTCAACCAATGATTACTGTCAAAACGACGACTTTGAGAATTTTACTTATGTAATGTAGGTCCACTCGCTATAATGATAGATTCTGATTGCGATGGTGGTGAAAAGTGACCTTTACGATGCTACATGATCGTTATGGTGAAAATATGCAATTTGCCTTCATGTATGTAATTACAGTCCTGTAACAGCCTAACCAGCATATTCCTTATGGAAGGAAATAGTTTTATAGTCTGATTTTTTTAAAATCAGAAACGAAATCACTGTTGAAGAATGACCAGCGAGCCTAATACACGGCTAAGAAATTCAGTGAGTCACAAGCCTGCTGCTAATCAAGCTCCATTATAACCTCTGGACAGGAACAGCATGTAATTCGTTTAATCCTCCCACACGCATTCAGAACACGATTTAACACCTACAATTACAACGTCTTAAGAACAAATGTACGTGAAATACGTGCAATATGCCATTGATTCTTCAGCGAGAGATCAAGTATGTCCAAGTCCCACTTTATTACAGTGCTGTATTTACAGACATTGCCTCTGGCATGACGCCACTATAACTTAACAAAGTGTGTATATGCGGTTGAGACACAACCTATGGTCCAGCAGGTACATACTGTAGTTGTACAATCTCATCCTAAGTTAAGCCACAATCCCTTTTTGTGGGTTCCCGTTTTCGAGGTCACTACGGTACTCATTTACAGGAGTCGGTGTGACACTGGATGGAAGGTCTTTTTGCACTTTAACCTCCAGACAAAAGCACCTTGACCCACCACACAATTCCAATAGCACGACTCTTGATGCTAAGACAAAGATTAGGGTGCTTAAAGCAGGTAGGCTAGATTATAATTTGAATAACGGTGCAGGTTTTTACCACTGTTTTCACACATCGAAATCTTGATCTGGCTTTTTACTACATGCCTTGGGTTTTAAACAAGTTCACCCTTGGCCAACGATGTAGGTGAATTGTGAGATAAAGCAAATTTCAAAACCAGCCAAGAAATAATATCTGGTCTGACATGGGGGTCAAATTTAGCTTCACCAAAACATTAACAGAGTACTTTAGAGGAAATCACCTGGAATGCACCCAACCTCGTCTGACCTCTGAAACTAAACTGGGTTGAGAGCCTGTAGAGTGCTTTAAGGACGGATAGGCAATCACAATACATAACACGTTGTTTGTAGGCTGTGGTGGGTAGTGCAACAAAATCCATTGTTGTACAGCACTTTGTAATATTTACAGGCTACCCACATTCACTAACCCACGTTGATCAATTGATCTCCACGACCCACAATGGTGTGGGAAGCCCTCATCCAGCAGTGGCCTGACAAAAGGGCTGTACACGTACATTGTCACCTCAATCCCATAACATATTCACAACTGAAGTCAGCTTTGGCCCTGTTACAACGAGGATTAAGGGTTAGCAACAGCAAAGACACTAAGAAAAACTGACAAACGTCACCCCATCTCTGAAGTACAAAGAACATATGATGGGAAGAATACTGTGTCTGACAATACCAGATAGGAGAACGACAAACAAGTGCATTGTCTTGAGCGGTGTATTATTACGCATTGTGACAAAACACTTCTAATGTCCCAAGGGATCCTGGAAAAATCAGGACAGGTGGCAAGGGCTCAACCCCAAATGGCTCCCACCACTCACCCCCAAGCAGGTGTGGAGTGAGTTGCACGGGCAACGACTGCGACATCCCAGCAGAGCTGAGCATGTTGAAGAGCCTCTGTCTCCCTCCTCCCACATCATCAGCGCCAGATCCATGGCCTCCTGGCCCCGTGGCCACCCTGCCCCCTGGGATGCCGATCGGTGGGTTGCGGCCGGAGGTGGCGGACGACGACGACGAAGCGGAGGTTCCGCCGGGAAGGCCATGGGTAGACCGGTGACCTCGGTAGGCAGCAGAGCTGGGCCCTCCATGGCCTGGGCTGGGAACATCCGAACTGGAGAAGGCTCTGGTGCGGGCATTGGAACTCTGCTTGCCTCCCATGGCCGATGATGTTTGGCTGCTGTTGGTGGAGGCTGATGTTGGTTGGGCCCTCACAACTTCATTACTGACGCAGTCAGTGGCAAGTAACTACCAACACAGCAGCAACGATGTCTGTGTGACGTGTCCCCCAGGACCTTAATCTGAACTTTGTTGCACGTATCACGGGACTTTGATTAATGTTTAGTTCTCTGGAGTGCGAGACCTAACCCCCGAGGGAAATATTTTTAAATTCAAAATCAATACGGCCGGGTTTTGACAATTCTGGCAGGTTGTTGCCCTACTTTTTGGACGACCACAGGTCACCGCCACTCCAACCGAACAGCTGACACTACAAAGTACGAGAAAGCACCGAATACATTTAACTCAGAACACAATTACCACAAGTTCTACCAATACCGCTGCAGTGCAGTACTAACAGAAATCACGTTCAGCACTTTCAACTACACAACCAAAAACTCAGCACGAATTTGAGAAATTGCTCACAACCACCACTTTGAAAGTACTACTAACAATCACTACCACCGCAGTACTAACACACATGAGCAGTTCTGTAGGACACTACACAACTGCGATAAGCAGGAGTTCTAACAAAGGTTTACTGCAATTGCTGCAGTTTGATCAACACATACAACCGGTGTTACCACAACAAAGTGTTGCTCACAACATTAACCACCGTTCCACTATTGCTATATAGTCACGGTACTGGTAATACTGGTTAGATCAGCGCCTACACTACACGACAGTATTCACAACGTGACTTACCATAGCAGTGGCTGTACTAGCAACATGTACTTGCTACAGTACTACTAAAGAACACGCTACTAACAACCACCACACCAACAGCCCCCACCAACTATGTACTTTGCACGCAGCGAACTACTTATTTGACGGCACCGTATATTGCACTCTAAAAAAAATGAAACATTAAATTATAAAGCTAGGAGGAGGCGAGGAAAAAAATAAAAAATAAACTCCTAGCGAAGTGGTAGAGATGATATAAAAAAATACGATAAACGAGACGCGACAGTGGAACAGAAGACAACGATTTTCGAAACCCTTCCGCTTTCAAACGTTCGCCTCCATGACGGGCCTCCCTCCCTCCTCTCTCTCTCGACGCAGTCTATTGTTGTTGTTGTTGCTGCTGCTGCTGTTATTGTTGTTGTCAGCGTTTGCTCGAGCGACTGTTGTGGCTGCCGATGCTGTTGCTACAGCTACTGCAGCAGCTGCTGCTACTGCCGCTGTTGTTGTTGTTGCTACTGCTGATGCCGTCGCACGCAGGTGACATCATGCGGACCGGACCGCCCCACGCCCACCACGGCGTGCCGGGCAGGAGGCGTGAGGGCGGGCGGGCATGGGAGGGCTTGGGGGGGTGGGTGGTGGTGGTGGTGGTAGTGGCATGGTGGTGTCACCAAACCCATAGCAGCATGGAGTTTTGTAACAGGGAAATTGAGTTGGTAGGTCCATACGGCGTACAGCCGTTTCGATAGGGGCCACAATTTTTTTTTGTCTGTTTGTTTGTGTTTCTCCCTTGTGATGGGAGTTTGTAGGATGGACGTTGGGATTTATCAAGGGCACGGGGTTGACCCAATGCGGTCTGAATTGGTCTGTAATAAGGTAGGGTACTCACATTCTTGGTTCTTTCGGTAAAGTCACGTAGAAGGGAAATAATAAAATCATAAAAACAAAACATAATAAAGTTCTCACGATGTTGCAATCCCTGCAGTCACGAAAGCTTTAAATCGAAAGGGTAGGGCACTGATAAGGGGTTGCCAGGTATGGAGTTGGCAGGCAGGTGACATGAAAAAAAAGTGTTGGTTGTTTTTTTTTACGTGTTGACGAGATAGAACATTTGAAATCAGGGGAGGTGCATCAGCATCATCATCACCGTACCGTGTCAACGCACCAATACGGTTCACCCCGTAGTCTTCGACAGGGAAATTTAGTTGACAGGTCCATACGGCGTACAGCCGATTCAATGCGGGAAAAACAATATTTTGTCTATTTGGTTGTGTTTCTCACTTGTAGGATGGACGTTGAGATGTGTAAGGGGCACGGGGTGACCAATAAGGTCTGAATTGGTCTGTAATAAGGTAGGGGTACTGATAAGGGGTTGATAGGTGTCCCTGGGATTGGCCATCGTACCGTCCACACCGAGATGTGGTTCCGCAACTCTCCCATAAACCAGGCTGTACAATCCTGGACGTGGCAGCTCTTTGCGGTTTCACTGCTGGATGAGGGTCTCTCTGTCACACAATGTTTTTTCACTGTCTTTTTCGATGTGCGTATATTTATGTCACTCTTGGACTTAAAATAAAATCGCTTACATGCACCTGTACCTATTTTTTTATATTACATTTGCGACGATTTTGGTTTGTGTGGTTCCTATATGACCGCTGAATGCCTCGTACATTATTCCAAAAATAGCCTTCTTCTCGTTCTCTCCGACATTGATATTTTTCCTTTTATGTTGTTATTGCTGTGCTCACGAACCACAGATCTCCCGTGTAAAATAGCCAGACTGTAAAGTCGCTTCCACCACGCCGTTCGTGGCCCCGAAGAGACATTTGACCATGAATTCACCACCAGGCTGGGTGAACCGTTGAAAAGCACCACGTATATCCTATTTAACATGGAACGTTGGGCCACTTTCCGTGAATGGGCGAGGAGCTCGATAATCCTCAGAGTCGAGCCAGTTCAAGTGGTTCGGGCACCTGATAAGGATGTCCCCCCGGTAGACTCCTCCTGGAATTTTACAAGGCATGTCCCACTGGGTGAAGACCCCGGGCCCGGCCCAGGAGACGCTGGCAGGACTATGTCGCTCGGCAGACCTTGGAATGCCTGGAAATTCTCCAGGAAGAGCTAGAGTCTGTCGCGAAGGAAAGGGAGGTCTGGACCGCCCTACTCAACATGCTGCCGCTGCGATCCTCACCAGGGCAAGCGGACTGAGAAACGAATGAACGAACGTTGGGCCAACGTGGGTCGAATGCTTCCAACAACATGCCAACGTTGAGCCATGTTTACTGAGATGCTGTGTATAGTGTGATCACGTTATACAGTTTACACGTGGCATGATTACATCATACAACCTTTTATCTATGGGACGCTTCATGCTTGTATCAATAAATACAGGTGCTGAGATGTTCAAACACCAAACAGACACCTATAACAAGGCATCAAGTCTGCAGTCACCACACAACCTGTGTTAATACATGCAAATAAATATGCTTTGATAATGTATGCATTGTCCTCGAAATTGATTGGCCAAATTGATTGACACTGGGAAAAAGGATCCCATGGATATAACTGTTTAACCCGAGATATTCAGACTTTGGCGTTTGCATCGTCCTTGTACTGTTCGCCTATTGGCGGCCTTTGATCTATATGGTACTGGTGAGACAAAACCATAAAAGAGGCTGTCTCAAGTGTAGGCCGGCGCGTTTCAAGGACAATGCGTACATTGCCGAAGTTTATTTGCATGTTTTATTACAAAGTGTGTGTGTGGTCAGTACAGGTTGGTGAAGGAGGGTACTGCAGCATAATGGATGTTGCTGCACTTGCCTCTGCTTACCAACAACATAGCCCTGCAGAAGCCTATATATAGACTTTAACGCATTTTTAATTGCCCACCAAAGTACTAGCCAGGCTCAAAGCCGCCTTGTATTCCGTGATATCTCGCATTTTGGGTGATTTGCTCGTAGATAAGAAAGTTTCACAGTACACAATACATTGCTCATATATCGGTGTTTGGTTTTCAACTGCATGTTTTTCAGACGTGTACGGTTTTCTTAATGTAACGAGTGGGCAGACAACTGTGATAGCATTGTTTATTTCTGGCCATTTAACGTTTTGGGCCTGTTGTCATCAACGTAAAAAAACGCTAAACTTTCATTTTAGATACAGTACAGCAATGTTGTATTTTTAATACAGTACAACACATGTCTTAAAAGTACACATACTTCAGTCTACATGTGGCATGCATCTTGGCACATGTAGACTGAAGTCTATGTTGCTGTTTGATAATAAACAAAACATATAGTATACTCGATTTACTTTTCAATAATATTACTGCACGTTTTCACATGTAAAGCTAACCATAATAAACCATGTCAAATGTTGAGAACATGTCCAAATTACATATTGTGCAGTCGTGTAAATATTCATTTCAAAGCTTCTTATAAAAAACATAAGTGACCTTCGAAAAATAGCTATTTTTACGACTCATTGAGGCTTTCATGGACTCAGAAATGGCATTATATCTGAAATAACATAATACAATCAGAACATTATTCATAATAAACCATGGCAATTACCTTTCTTATCTCCCTAATCTCGATCATCTACCTGTTCAATGAAAACGTCTGGGTCGGTTACTGAGCGCCCCCTTTAGGAAGTTTCACACATCTGGTCGAATGCACCCCTCACTTGATACTTAATGTACAAGAATGTCCAGATGTCTTGTGACCCCAAATTAAATGACTCCTTACCATTTATTTTGAACATTCCTTTTTGTTTTAAATAACACTTAATTTAACAAAACATTACATTTTACGGAATTGAATGGGGGTCACACGACATCTGAACCACCCGGCACACTACCGCATATTGTATTTAGATTATGTCATAATTCTTATGCTTATTTTACCCAGGAAAGCCTCACTGGTTCTCATGACTATTTGTCAGGAAGAGCTTTGCCAAGTTTTCGCGGGTGATGATTACTATGTATGATCACAATTAAGGCTTAACCGTAATTTATCTGATTTTTTAATACTGTATGTGAAGTGAAATATAGTACTGTACTGTATTTAGCAAGTTGGCTACGAAGAGGTTAAACATACATAAAGTAACTCCACTTTTCATTCGGTCAACATTTTAGTCCATTGGGGGGGCTCATTCTGACTGGAATAATTCAAGGGCATGTTATATTGAATTTGACTTATGTGTTGAATTTGAACCACGTCAAACAAAGTAGTGACTGTCGCCAAGACTACAAGACAGCTGGTCTTGGGATAAATGTTGTGTCAGATGGGTGGGAATTAGGTAAAAGTGTCATTATTAAATATTTGAGTTAAACCTTAACTTTGTTGGTAAAGAAAATTGCAGTCTTTAAAAATACTGCACTGTAGTCGCAGTGTATTGGTTTTGCACAAATTAAAACAGGAATTCTAACTAAATAAAATGTCCCCTCAGGCATAACATTCACAGCAAACATGCAACTTTGGGTATACGTTTGGGCTGTTCGGCCATTCTTAGCCCAACGTTCCACGTTTACTGGGTTCTTACCAAACTGACCATTAATAGATCAACGTTCTTTAGTTACAGGCGCATTACAACTGTGTCACCACAATAAATCAACTTCAACACAGTTGTGGACAATAATGCCAACCATATGCCCCACCATTATTCACCAGTGTGGTGAAGTATGGTAAAAAAACAACCCTATGACCAACAGCGTGGGGGAAGGAAGGTGATCAACCCAGCAGTGGATTGATCTTGACTCATGTTGAATGAATCTCCACGTGCTGGGTGGGGGTTAAGTGGCAACCCCACGTGATACGAGGCGTGCCTCCTTCACCACGTGGCACGGAAAAAGCGATTTCACGCCTACGATGCTTTGCGCGCTTATGAATTTACCTCCATCACTATCATCATCCTCGTCCATCACTACAGCAGCAGCTTGGCACCCTCTCTAAACCATAAATCTAGCAACCTTGCCGTCACCGTTATAACCACCATCATCATCATCTTCCATCACGAGCAAGTCGGGAGTTTCCTGGATATCGTCATCATTGAGCACCGTGCCACCACTACCACCATCATCATCATCAGCTTCTTCTTCTTCCATCACGAGTAGCTAGGCCACTTTGCTTGATCATCATCTCGCGCCGTGTCACCATCTTCATCATCATCACCGCAGCGAGCCGCTCTCACCACATTAATCTTTATATCATCATCACCACCACCGCCATCATTATAGCAGAGCGGCACCCAACACCGTGACATCATTACCACCATCATCTTCATCACCACCACCACCATCATCTTCATCACCACCACCACCATCATCTTCATCACCACCACCACCATCATCTTCATCACCACCACCATCATCTTCATCACCACCACCATCATCTTCATCACCACCACCATCATCATCTTCATCACCACCATCCATCATCATCTTCATCACCACCATCATCTTCATCACCACCACCATCATCATCTTCATCACCACCACCACCACCATCATCTTCATCACCACCATCATCTTCATCACCCCCACAACCACC